TCAGAAAATTTAACCAGATGATCACTGTTGTTAGCAAAGAGCAACTTGAATTTCAGTGCTCTTGGAAATAAGGCTCCTTGAATATTATGCAATTATGAATACTATATTAATTTTCTTGAAGAAGAGACTAAATCCGATTACAATTTGTATTCTCTTTGTGCTCTTCCATGTGTGTATCTCAAGGTGTTTATCATTCCACTAATACACCTAATACTTCTGTGAAACTCATGATACAAAAATATTTATTTTACAAGGGGATAAACTGCAGCCTAAAGTTGTGATAGCATGGACGGTCCTAGTGGGTATAATGCTAAGTGTTTGTAATAAGTGAGTCAGAGGAAGGCAAGTACCGTGTGATCTCACTTATATGTGCAATCTAAAGAACAAAAAGAAAATAAACAAATAAACAAAATAGAAACGGTGATAGACACAGAGAGCAGACTGACGGATGCCAGAGGTGAGGACTGGGTGAAACAGGTGGGTACTGAAAATACCAGAGAAAAGGGAGGGAATGCTTCACAAGTGTTTGCCTGTATACCTGAAACTAATACAAAATAATATTGAAGTAAACCGTAATTGAAAAATTAAAAGTAAATAAAATTAGTGAATTGCTTAAGGCACCTGGACAAGTCTAGGGAAGTTAACAGTAGCCAAGTTCCAAGGCCTGTTTCATTAATACTGTATCTGGGAAATGAGTTTCTCCTTTTTTTTCACTGCCTTTTTTTTTTAATAGAGAAGAAGGGAGGGAAACATAACACTGTTGCAAGTAACATGCCTTTACCTTCCATATGCACCAGGCTGGGGATTGAACCCACAACCTAGGTATGTGCCCTGACTGGGAACCAAGCCTGCAACCCTTTGGTTGCCAGACAATGCTCCAGCTGACTGAGCCACCACCGGCCAGAACAAATTTCTTAAAAGCAGAAATCTTTTACAGTGCTAGCATGTACTCAGGGAAACCCTTAAGTGTTCTTTTTCTCAGAGAGATTCTTATTTATTTAGAATAAGAATGATGAATGAATGATGAATGAAACATGATGAATGTTTGGAATTTTATGCCACACTCAAATCCTTCACTTCAGTGCTAATATCCTTGTTATCTTCTGTATGTATTTCATCCTTGGCAGGTTCCTTTTCAATCTATTGTCTTAGCATTTGCCTCCCAGCATTCTTTTTTGGCCCTATACTTAGTATTTAACTGTTTTTTATGCTGACAGTGTAAGATTCCATTCAGTAGATTTCTTGCTTTTATCTCTTGACCTAATAAATTTGCTGCCATGCCATATTGATTTTCTTATATATCTTCATAAATGTAATTTTTAAACTCTCTTCACTTCTGGATTTATGTAATCCCCATAAAAGTGCCCAGTCCTCATAAATACCTCCTGGCACCTTTCTTTTCCCTCCATCCCCAGAACTGCCTTCTTGGTTCATTCCTGCTGGGTTCACTGAACCATCACAGTGACTTCCTGATGTCCCCTCGTCTCGTTTCCCACCTTTAATCATCCTAGACAAGATTCATGTTTCTATAATTTTATTGTGGCCATATCAATATGCCACTTAAAATCTTTTAATGGCTCACTCTAACTCTCAGAATAAAATGTGGTCTTGTTTGCTTAGCATACCATGCCCTTCCTGACCTGTCATGCATATACTTCACCAACCTCTTGTTAACCTGCTCTGGACTCTAGTCATACGAAAATAGTCATTATGGTATAGTATAGGAAATATAGTCAATGATATTGTAATAACTCTGTATGGTACCAGATGGGTACTGAAATACCAAGGGGAACACTCTTTAAAGTATTGGATTATCTAACTGCTATGCTGTACAAACTAATACAAAATAGTATTGAATATAAACTGCAAATGAAGATATAGATCTAGATATATAAAAAGGAAGTACTCATTATGCTAAATGCCTCTGCACAGGCTGTTCCTTCTACCAAGAACATCTTTCCTCATCCAATACCTACACTAACGTGTCCCTGCTGGTGCCACAGATTTTAAATCTCTTTACCATTCCCCAGTTTCAGTTGGGGGGCTAGATAAGAGCTTGCCTTCAAGTTCAGCTCCAGAAACCTGCTACTATGTACTGAATAAAATGACATTTCTCTTTTGTAACAAAAATAAATGAATAAAAACAAATAAACTAATGCACCTTTCGGGTGGAACCAAGTGTACCATTTGTTGTATCTGCAGAGAGTGACAAAGTACTAGAAGTACTAGACATATGGTGTGAGCTTAATACACATTTGTACGATTAGTTAGTGCAATTAGTAGTTGCACAACTGTAAACTCACCATCAATAGAAAATATCTTACAATGTCTACTGATTATGTAGTTTTTATGATATTCTGGAAGGTTTAACCTGTGGTGTCCCCAAATGGGACCTCAAGGGCATCTGCATCAGTAGAGGAGACTGGAGGCTGGATAAGAGAACGAGGTGACAAAACTTGCAGAAGTTCTGTGCAGTTGAATAATTTTAAAGGAAAATTGGCAGGAAAAAGTCCTAATGTTCTTAAGCAACTTTATTTTCTGTTTTCTATCAAATTTGTTATATATTTTATGAGGTAAAGAGCTAAATAATTTGAACATTTACTGTAACCGTAATGTTTTTAGTTTGAGCACAAGTAATGCTATACGTAAAAATGTTTTTGTTTTGTGTATTTTTCATTCGGCTGCTGAAATATAAAAATATCTAACTCTACTACCTTCTTCCCGCACCAAGCCTTCTGAGACACACTGCAGGCAAATTGCAGGGTGGAGGGGGATTGAGGGAACCACAAACGGTGAGAAGTGAGTAACTTCCAACACCAAAAATTCTAAGGACCTAGCCTTTTTAATGACAGTTATTGTCTCTAGACAAATATATGGACATTAAAGATAAAGTTAAGTAATTCCACATGTGTATTATGAATACTGGTATAGGAATATCTCCTCAATATCCTATAGTTCTAATATTTGCTTCAGGCATTTATTTAAACATGCTAGTATATACCTATTATGCAGAATACTTTCCAATATTTTAGACTGTTTCTACCTTTTTTCATTCCATCAACTAAAGATCCATAGTTCACTTTAATGTCTAAAATTATAGCAGTGACAATATTTAAACAATTGCCCTTATTTCTGTAATTTTAACCATATACCTATGGCAACCACTTCTCATCTGTATTTTTGACTACCTTCCACTAATGACAGCTGAATACTTCTATTTTACAGAGGAGGAGCTGGATGACTTGAAACTAGGTTTACAGATTTCTCCCCTCATAATCCCAAGTGTTGCTAGCGTTTTTCTTCTCCTGTCCTGTCCGGGGCATTCTAGAATGGGAGTTCTGGTATTTGCCAAGAGCCCAGCAGCATATTTTGCTTTAGAGGTTCGGGCTTCCGAAGAACACTCAAATAAGCACTAGGGCAACTGAGATTCAGAGTTTAGGAAATACAGTTTCTTGAGAATAGGTAAAGCACTGGCCTGCTGGCTCAGTTATTTGGACCATCATCCTGTACACCAGAAGGCTGCCAGTTCGATCTCTGGTTGGGGCACATAAGGGGGCAACCACTTGACGCTTCTATATCACATTGATGTCTCTCTCTCCCTCTCCCTTCCTCTCTCCAAAATCAAAAAACATATCCTTGGCCGAAGATTAAAAAAACAGCTATAGCATAAAGTGGAATTCCTAACTCCTATGTTTATAATTATGTGCTATATTGCTAATGAACTCATGTTTTCATGGATGATTACTATGTGTATCTTATGTAATGCTCTCACTATTTGCTAGTTAGTATTGTTTGTTGTATGTGAAACTTAGGTGTCTAAATATATTATCACAATAAACCAATAAACACAACTATGTATAAAATAATCACATGACTCAAAGCTACAAGCTATTTAGAAACACTTGTAATTTTTCTCCTTTTCTAAAAATCTTTTTCCAAAACCTCAGAAAACCTGCATAACGTTCTGGCAACATCCACCAATCGTTACTGAGATGCCAGAAGTAGTTAGAGACTTCCTAAATGTGCTTCAGCTTCTTTTTGGATGACTAGCATGGTAAGAATGTTTGATGGGTTTGCAGGAATTAATAATGTTTGTATGAATAAGAAGTTATTGGAGTTCCAGGATGTATTGTGATATTCAGTATTTTACCAGATCCTAAATATTAAACTTATTAGGATCAACAGGAAAAGTAAAGTTCCAAGTATCTGTCTTTTTATTTTTAGCATTTTGTTCACCTATTGACCAATAACTGCCTTTTCAAAGTTAGAATTGATTGCTACTGCAAATTCTTTTTCATAAGCAGGTAATTACAAAAAACATATGATAAACTCTTTCAACAGATCTGCAAAAGGTCCTACAATTCCTAAATGTGGGTTAGTTTCGTTTTAAAAAGCAATTTAAATAGAATACTAAATATGAAATTACTGGAACCAGTTAAGTGTTCAAGTTTTGATGTTTCCTTGTATTCTTAAAAAAAGTTTTGCTCTTTCTGAGAAATAGTCATTATAGAAAAATATAAATAAATGAATAAATACAGAAAAGCACAGAAAAGAAAATTACCAGTAATTGTTCCACCTAGATATAATCTCTATATTTTGGAGGCTATCTTTTTAGCTTTGTTTGTCCCTAGCAACTGTAATTATTTTTTATTTTAGACCCTGTGCTAGACTCTCAGCTAAAGCTGTGTCCAAGGAACCTTAAAGAACAGATCTAGTAATTGGGATACAATGGAACTTCCCTTCCCTTTACTCTTTTTTCTTGATATTTTGAAGCTACGTCTAGTCTTTTTTTTCTCCTTTTTTTGTCATATCTGGACTTGGTAGACAGAGTTAGTGACTAAATGAAGACATGCTTATATTTGTAACAGAATAAAAGAAACCAGAGGAAAATCACATCTTTTCAGATAAATATTTTAATTATATTATACACAAATCAAAATTGTATATATACATATGCACCATTTATAAATACGTAAACATATGTACAAAGGCTAGAAAAATACAAAGAAAAAATATGTGTTAAGAGTATTGGGGTTATATGTCTTTTTCATTATTTTTAAATATACTCAAAAAACATTACACTTAGGTAGGACTCTTTTAGTACTAGAGAATCTTATATAAATGTATTTGTTCAAGAGCTTCCCTGTCGATGTCCTTTTCTGGGTACACATCATAATTCAGTGGCACCTCTTCAACCCAGAAAGGTAACTGTATATTAACCTGGAAAAAAAGATGATAAACAAACATGAAAATGCAGAGTGATCCTATTTTCTTGAAGAAATCCTGACTATGTAACTGAACACAACAGACTTTTAGTACAATGAGCAGGACTAAGTTCTACACGGTGCCTGCCACACAAACAATTCTTTGTGGTACTAAACAGTCTAGATTCTTGGACTAAATTAATTTACTCTGATTTGGGAATTTTAAAGAATAAAGAAAATATGGAATAGAATAATTGTTTTAATGTAAATAGCCTAATAATTATCATTAGGCTTAAACAAAAAGACTAAAGCAACAATGGGAATGCAGAGAGAAGACAGAAAAACCGCTCGTCTATACAGAGACGGTGCTGAGGGGATGCGTTCAGGGCTAATCTCTCTCTGTAACCTCTGTGGGGCCCTTGCCCTTCACAGTGCACACCTGCGTCGCCGTGACACAGAAATTCTGGGGCTGCCAATGGACATATTATCTGTCTAAAGAAGTTTCATCAAATAGGACAGCAATAAAGTTATTCAAGAATTTATGTATAAGGGCTCTTTCATAAATATTATTTTCCTATGATTATCTAGATAGATTTGTGTATTTAGTGTGAAAGTTGTTATTTTGGTAAAGTAACTGATTTATTTCAAGATATTATATATAGAAATTCTAAATTGGAGATCACATATTTTAAAGGATATGTTTTCACGAGTATGGAAAAGTACGGCAGGATCACACACCTATGGAATGGGGATCTTACGGGGAAAAATTAAGTGGTAGGGAACTGGGGAGACTAACATCTTCTGTGGATATATTCTATCTATGGATTAGTTCCCATGTTATGGAAAACATGAATTACTTTTGTAATTTAGATGACTGAAAAAAATTTTTTAAAAGGTATTAATGATTTTTTAGTTTTTTTTAAAGGAAAAAGATATATGCTTAAATTTGGTGGTGCTTATATATAAGGAAAGCACTACTGAAGAAAATAATAATAGTCTGTATTAAGAAACACAACAGTACCTTTCATCTGGATCTTAAAGAGCTTTACCAATACTAATTAACCTTTATATAAAGATCAACTTATGGAGTAGAATCTTATTACTAAATATCAGCTTCATTTTATATGAAGAATCTGAGGAAAAGTGGTTTATGCAAGATTCCAGACTGACCTAGAAGCCTCCAGGTTACTTATTTGATTATAGAACATTGCATAACTCTGTTCCTTTTGTTCTAAGGGAAAAAGTTATGATGTGGGTGTTCAAAGCCTCTTACAAACATGTAATAGCATTTGTTATCCTAAAACTGTAACAGAGACGGTGCTGAGGGGAAGGCTCAGTTGGAACAATGGTGGAGAGAAGCAAAGGAGTATGAATCAAGAATTACAATGTGAGAGCTCTTGAGGCCAGTTAAACTGCAAACCAGTTCTTATGCCAGAAGTTCTTGCTATTCTTCCTATTGTCTATCACTATATTCAGACAATATTTCTAGAATATTGAAACAGCTATCAGAAAAACACAGAAGAAAAGTTTTGACAATAAAAATGCTGGGAAGGTTTACATACCTGAAGACCTGAGAGAGACTCTTCAAGACTTGGTACTGTTACTAATAATGATCCTTGTTTCCTTACATTATGGCTGATGAATTCCCAGGCTCTACAACACATTGAAAACTATATGTTAGGTTTTACTAGACATCAGATACTTTTTTAAAAAATGCAAATGACAGCCCTGGCCAGGTAGCTCAGTTGGTTAAAGTGTTGTTCCAGTACACCAAGGCTGTTGGTTCAAGCCTTGGTCAGGGCATACACAAGAATCAACCAATGACTGGATAAATAAGTGAAACAGGAAATCAATGTTTCTCTCTCTCTCTCTCCCCCTTCTTTTCTCTCTCTAGAGAGAAATCAATAAATAAAAAATTTTTTAAAATGAGGATGACAAAAGAAAATGCTGTACAGGTGGTATCTCAAAATCCAGGTGGGCAAAACATGTTTTCCTGAAGAAAACAGGACAACAACATACTAGAAATTAGTAAATTCTTCAGTGCCTGAAGGAGTGTTGACAAAATTATGATGTTACAGTGTTGATAAGATTTAACAGGATCGTGTTTCGGTTTATACAAGGCACTGTAAACCAAAGCTCAGTTTCAAGACCAATTTACAAGTCAAAGCTGCATCAGCAGTTAGAGGCCCTGACATTCTTCAGAGCGTGTCAAAAATGGTTCTGCAGAATCAAAGTGGGCTGCAGGGCAGAGGAGAGTCATGGGGAAAGTCCACAGATGCCAGACACCAAGCAAAAACTAACAATAACGGTATGTAATATGTAGATTACATCTTTTAAAATAACATTAAAAGTGAAATCATACTTTGTCATAAATATTCAGTGGAAAGCCTTCTGGACAATACGACCCCTGAGAAGTTTAGTGGGATCAGCCAGGTTTAAAGCACAATTGAACGCCATGTGCATGTGTACGTGTCAGGGGGCAGTGCTGACCGGTTCTGATGAACCTTCAGTGCAGACACAAACTGGATTCCACAGTCTTGACAGCATACCCCGCTACTGGGGAGCAATGATCAAGCAAAGCAGGGATGTGCAACTCTTGCAGTGGGGCAGACAGGCAGCTGTGTCATTTGCAATTATTTTAGTTATAGCAATGGTTAAGTTTAACACATTCTAAAATTCACTGGGCAAAATGATACAAATGATTTTCCCCCCTCAGGCTAGATCTAAAATCATGTAGCAGTGTTTGTTAATAAATATCACTGTGTTTGGGCAAGAGCTGTTCTTTTTTTTTCTTTTGATGTGGTTCCTTAAAAATGATGTGTTTAACAAATGTATTTAATAAGGATGGAGAAGCTGAGTATACTCAGCATGGCTCTCAAAACAGTACTTGCTGTTTCTGGTAAACTGTCATGGTATATACAGGAAGCTTTTAAATTCGTAATGACTCTGTAATCTAGATGTTACCTGTAATGAGATATAACTTATTCTGAAAGCTGAGCCTTTCCTCAGGACACATTATTATTATGATGTATTTCTTTTAAAAATATTTATTTTTTAGAGAAAGGGGAAGAAGGGACAAAGAGGAGAGAAACATCATTACATGAGCGATACATCAATAGGTTGCCTCTCATGCCCCCAGCTGGGGACTTGGCCCATAACTCAGGCACGTGCCCTGAATGGGAATCCAACTGGCTACCTTCTGGTTTGCAGGCTAGCGCTCAATCCGCTGAGCCACACTAGCCAAGGCTACGATATATTTTTTTTCTCTTACACACTAACTCCCATATCAATACCATTCCACTTGCTCTCAGATCCTGATTAAGATGGCAGATCTGTGGAGGCTATATACTGTGCCATCTATTGTCTTTTATTTACTACAATATAAAATTGATATGGGTAAATGATTAGTTTTGTCAAAATAATTCCAGTATCAGAATGCTTTACCGTATCTTCTAATCTTTCTCCTGTCAACTGGCATTCAAGATGGAGATCAGATAATTAACCATGAGAGGCAATAACCTATCTATATTTAGAACTCATTGTACTAGACTAATTTAGGAAAAATGACTGAACTCACACAGGTGGCCAATACCTACTCAATGAATCCTGTAGGGTTTGTGAACAAATGCACCAAGAAAGTTTTTAGAACAATCCTAACATGCAGCATTTCCAATATTGAGTCTAGCAGTAGCTTTCATCATTCTTCAGCATTCAAACTCTTTCTATAATAAATCTCCAAAGAGTTTACAGTGTTTTAAAACTTCTTATACAATAAAAACTTGGTAATATTTCATCTCCAATAATTATGAAATGTTTTGGCTACTGGTCATTAATTTTAAAAGGTAAAAAGCTAATCATACTTTGTCCACTGGGAATTAAACTTAAAAGAGAGCACTCTGATGAAAACAAGTTGCTCATGTTGTGTTTCTGGTCTTTGGCCTGTGACTAAAAATTGTTATTCATTGTGGCTGAGCTTCAATTATATGATTAGCTTTCTGTTGAGGTAGTTTCTTTTTAAACTATTTACATAGTCAGTTTTGTAGTGACCTTAACCTGCTAGTCATGGGTGTGAGTATGCATGTGTGAGTGAGAACGTGGTGGCTGGGGGAAGAATATAAAAGGCGAAAAGGTGGCAGAACAAAGAGGGTCAGCCATTCAGGATTCTACTCAGTGTTAATTGTTTATGGTTTGTACCATATGCATTTTTATTTCTTTGAGGTAGATCTCTTACTGATGAGATCTACTAATCCAACCACTTGTGTATTCCCTTTTATACCTATGGAAAGGAGCTTTCCTGCATCTTGACTATACATATGCCCTTATGATAAATAAGAACTCAGCAAGCCTAACTAGACAGAAAATCAGCATCTCAGACTAGAGACTACAGGAATTTTCTAATCAAAGGAACCTATAGGTGTTTATGGGTCATAAAGCATTAAATTGTGGCAGAGAAGTCAGAAAAGTGATCACAGATTTGTTAATTTTTCCACTACTTGAATAGTGGAATAAACTCAAGGAGCCTACTATTATCCCTCATGAACATTTTTCAAGTTTGATAATTAATCTCAATTTTGGTTAATATTCTTATATCTTATTTTATATTCACTTATAGGCATTAGTTAATTCCCTTCATTTTGTGATAGGATAGAGGATTTTAAGAAAAGAAAAAAGAAAACTGAGGCAGAAAAGAATCAGTATAGAGGCCCACTAGGACATGATACCTCATTCCATCCCTGACTTCCAGGCAGATGCGTGGGTCATGATATAATTTATGTGTCTAAAATTAGATATAGTATTTTACGAAGTTAGCTTATTTTTTAAAATTTAATTTTACTTTTAATCCTTATCAGAGGACACTCTTTCATTGTTTTCAGAGAGAGGAAGAAAGAGGGAGAAACATCAATGGAGAGAGAAGCACTCACTGGTTGCCTCCCTGACACATCCAGACCAGGGACTGTATGCGTCCATACTAGAGTACGAGAATAAACCTGCAACCTGGGAATGTGCCCTGACTGGGAATCGAACCTGCAACCCTTCTGCTACAGGACACTCCAACCAACTGAGCAACATCGGTGAGGGTTACAGTTTATTTTTATTTTTGTTTTATACAGAACACCCTTGCTTTTAAATATAACCTCCTCACAGCTGAGGTCATTTTAAAAAAAGTTTAATATGAAAACATTTCTACTTTACCAATCCCTTTTCATACTTTGCTGGATAACAACAGACTTCTTGCTTGAATAAATGGCATACCTGGCCTGTTCTGCCTCATCAAGAAAATATTCGAAGACGTTATTCATTATAACAACATCAGCATTTTGTAGAAGGGAATCCTGGGTACAGATGTCTGCATGAAGTACCTAAAGAACAATGAGTTCATTTAAGACAACAAAGATACTCTATTATACAATCACAGGAGAAATATCTATGGTTCAATAATGTTGTGAGGTCATATGTAACGTTAACCCTTCTTAAATGGGAGAAAGGACAGTATATTTAATGTGACTGTCTATGGGAGATAACGTCTAATAAAACCCATAAAATTGTGAAAATTTGTTTCTTCTTTTAGATGAAATATTTTATATAGTATAAATATACTCTTTTGACTCCTAGTTCGGAGCTTTTCCCACTACAGCAGTTCCCTCTTATCCATGGTTTTGCTTTCCGTGGTTTCAGTTATCTGTGGTCAACCATGGTCTGAAAATATTAATAGAAAATCCAAGAAATAAATAATTCATATGAAATTTTAAAATGCAAACTGCTGTCAGGAGCACGTAGAAATGTCCCACTCCACCCTGTCCCACTCCACCTGTCCCACTTCACGCTGTCCCACTCCACCCTGCCCAGAGGGGATCGCCCTTTGCCCAGCCCATCCACGCTGTGTATGCTCCTGGCCCATGAGTCACTTCACAGCTGTCCTGGCCCTTGGAGCGACTGTTGCAGGACTGCAGTGCTTGTGCTCAGGTCACCCTTATTTTACTTAATAACAGCCCCAAAGTGAAAGAGTAGTGATGCTGGCAATTCAGATGTGCCAAAGAAAAGCCCTAAAGTACCTCCTTTAAGTGAACAGGTGGAAGTTCTAGATGTAATAAGGAAAGAAAAAAAATGAAATGCTGAGGTTGCTAAGATCTATGGTAAGAACAAATCTTTCTACCTGTGAAGAAGGAAAAAGAAACTTATGCTAGTTTTGTGTCCCATCTCAAACTGCAAGTTATCACCACAGTACACATTGAATGCTTAGTTACTGTGGAAAAGTCATTACATTTGTGGGTGGTAGATATTAACAGAAAACTTGTTCCCATTGACATCAACGTGTTGCGCCAGAAAGCACTGAGCCTATACAAAGACTTCAGTACATGGTCCCCTAAAATGAGTGAGTGACACCAAGCCATTTGTTACAAGTAAGGAGTGGTTTGGACTGAAAACTATAAAAATTACTGGAGAGAGAGACCACATTCACATAACTCTTACTACAGTATAATTGTTCTATTTTATTACTAGTTATTATTAAGCCTCATTTATAAGTTAAATTTTATCATAGGTATATACGTATAGGAAAAAACAGTATATATATAGGGTTCGGTACTATCCACAGTTTCAGGCATCCACTGGGGGTCTTGGAACATGCCCCCTCAGATAAAGGAAGACTCTATCACTTGTAAGAGTCATCAAGTTCTTGCTCCATCATGAACGAGGTTTGTACACTTCGGTAGTCAGGTCCTCATAAACAAGATAGAATTCAGATTTCTGGCAAGATGGAGGAATAGGTGGACACACCGTACCTCCTCGCACAACCAAGATTAGAACAACAATAATTTACGACAATAATTTACAGACAGAATAACACCTAGAACCGACAGAGGATTTATCTGAATGGAAGTCGGACAGCCAAGAAGTTGAAGTAGACCCGTACATCCAGACTGGTAGGAGAAGATGAGCTGGGCGGGCGTGGGGCTGGTGCGGGTCAGTGGCGCACGGAGGTCGGGGAAAATCTGGCGCGAAATCGGCGCAACAGCCATCACGGGCACAAGAACGCAGCGGTGATCCCTGAGTGTGCAAGCTGTGGCTGGCGGACCCAGTGAGGCAGCGATTGTGGACCAGGGCAGAGCTCGCAGCCCAGGATCCCTGAGAAGGGTCTGAGCCCAGGAGAACGGAACTACCACCATTGTTCCCTCCCGTCCCGCTCCCGCCCCGCCCCCACATATAACGTCACAATCTAGTGACTGGGGTGCCCAGCTCCGGTGAACACCTAAGGCTCTGCCCCCCACCCTAACAAGAGCAACCAGACCAGGAAAAAAAAAAGGAGAGACAGGGAAAGACACGTATCCAACAGAGCAGATCAGTCCCCCAGGACTCATCCTTTTGAGCGACCAAGAAATAGCCAATCTATCAGATGCACAGTTCAAAACACTGGTGATCAGAAAGCTCACGGAACTGGTTGATTTTGGGTGCAATTTAGATGAAAGGATGCAGGTTACCATAAAAGAGATGCAGGAAGATACACGGAGGAGAGCCAATAGTGAAAGGAAGGAATCTGAGTCTCAAAACAATACAGTGGACCAGAAGGAAGATAGAATCAACCAAGCAGGAAAGCATGATGAAATAAGAATTCAAAAAATCGAGGAAAAGCTTAAGAGCATCCAGGACACATTTAAACGTTCCAACATCCGAATTATAGGGGTACCAGAAGGGGAAGGGGGAAAGCAACAAATTGAGCAAAAATTGTTTGTATCTGAACAAATAATAAAGGAGAACTTCCCCAATCTGGCAAAGGGAACAGTCTTCCAAGAAATCCAAGAAGCTCAGAGAGCCCCAAAGAAGTTGGACCCAAGAAGAAACACACCAAGGCACATCATAATTACATTAGCCAAGGTAAAAACGAAGGAGAGAATCCTAGAAGCAGCAAGAGATAAGGGGACAGTCACCTACAAAGGAGTTCCCATCAGACTGTCAGCTGATTTCTCCAAAGAGACCTTCCAGGCAAGAAAGGGCTGGAAAGAAATATTCCAAGTCATGAAAGACAAGGACCTACATCCCAGATTGCTCTATCCAGCAAAGCTCTCATTTAGAATGGAAGGGCAGATAAAGTGCTTTTCAGATAAGGTCAAGTGAAAGGAGTTCATCATCACCAAGCCCTTATTTTATGAAATGCTAAAGGGACTTATCTAAGAAAAGAAGATAAAGAAAAGACATGTATAGTAAAAGGACAGCAAACTCACAATTATTAACAACCACACCTAAAGCAAAATCAAAAGAAACTAAGTAAACAATTAGAACAGGAACAGAACCACAGAAATGGAGGGCACACGGAGGACTAGCAGCAGGGGGGTGGGAGGAGGAGAGGGGGAAAAGGTATAGAGAATAAGTAGAATAGAATGTAGGTTGAAAATAGATAAGGGGAGGGCAAGAATAGTACGGGAAATGTAGAAGCTAAAGAACTCATAAGTATGACACATGGACATGAACTAAAGGGGGGAAACGTGGGTGGGAGGGGGGTACAGGGTGGAAGGGAGAGAAGGGGGAAATGGGACAACTGTAATAGTATAATAAATATATTAAAAAAAGATAGAATTCATAATATCTGTCCTGATTCATAGATCAAATGGGACCATAAAAACTATAAAAGTAATTTATAAATTATAAAATTTTAATACAATATATTAATTGGCCTTGCCTGACTCTTCATCTAAAATTCACTGGAATGTATTATCTGTCCAAAAAACAAACAAAACAATTTATTTAAAAACTATATACCTCAAAAACTTAATTAGGCCACAATCATCAAGTCTGACAGATTACAGATTAACAAGAAGAAACATTTATTTGTTCAAGAGCAAAGCAAAACACTTTTATTTTAGAAAAAGTTTAACAACTTCGCATCACATGATTTCTTTCCCAATAAATACTCAGCCTTACAAATGTGTGATATTCGGGAGGTTGTTGGGACTAATTTTAAAATTCATTTCCTCTTTTTTAAAATGATAAAAATGCTAACATAATTTAAATTAAGGTGGCCCAGAACCTCTGAAGCATAGCTTTGACATGTTTTTGAATGCAGAAAAAATAGTCAATCACTGTAATCTTCTAGATATGTAGCTTAGATATAAAATAAGTATGTAAATTAACCTCCTGATATAACATAGCTTTTACACAATATCTTCTTTTCCTTTCCCATTTCTGTTCACTCCCCCAAACCTCACCCCACAGGCAGGATAAAAAAGAATCAGGTGGATCAATCCATTATGGCAACCGACAGGTGCTTACTCTAGAGGTTCCCAAAAAACCCAAGGAATGGTTCTGGATAAGCTGGAATGCCAACAATGCAAGAGGTCACAGGCAATCAAAATCAATTTAACCAATTTCTAATGGGTATCTCCTATGTACTAGATACTATGTAGGGAGATATATCACAATGAATGAGATACAATATCTGCTTTCAAATACATCATAATCTAGTAATGGAATGAAAACAGCTATGCTGATAACTCTAACTGCCATCAAAGGAAGTGAGCAGGCTATGAATGCAGAGAAGTTTACTTTTAGCATGGAGGAAAGGGAAGAAAGAATTTAAATCAATGGGTCTTCCATGGATATGACACATGTACATGGCTCTTGTACTTTCCTGAACCCCCATTACAATAAGGGGTACTCTCACAAGGATGAGGAGAATGGGAATAGAAATAACATACACAAAATTTATGTCAGGAAAAAAGGATGTAATAAGGAATTTAGGAGACCTGAAAAAACTGATTTCTAAGCCAGAAATATAGAAAGTTAAGAACCAAAAGTGGTTTATACTACAGAATCTCCAAAAGGCTCATAATTGGTGGTACCAGTTATCTCTGAGTAACGAACGGAGTAAGAAGAAATGCTAAAGATAATTTGGTTGAAAGTTCACTTAAGAAACAGGCAGATCTTATATACCTTTCTGCTACTTCAGCAAAAGAACAGAGGTTTGTTCTCCAGAAAGGGTAAAAAAGGTGTCTGGGCCAGGGACACCAGGCCTAGTTAAAGGAAATGATAATATACTGAAAACAAGGGAGTTAAGGAAATATGCAGACAGGATGCTGAGAACCCCACTCCTCTCAGTTCCCAGGATACTGCTGGCCTGGAGTAAGGAGACTGGAAAGGTTTCCTGTGGGCAATCAGACTGGCCCAAGAGGAAAGATCTTATGATTCCTCATCAGATATTTTCCAGCTAATTAATTACCCAAACAAGATCACTCAGCAGTGAAGCCCACAGTGCGCAGAATCCCACTTCAGTGCTTCAATCAGAACTTCAGCCACTGTCATCCCAATAAATTCAATTTTTTAAAAAAGAACTTTGATTAGCATTTTTGTTTCTGAGTCTTAAGTATGAGCAGACAACAAAGGATTCCTAGACTTCTGAGGAAAGCCCTGTTAAAAAAACCCCAAAAACCAAAAAACCCAAACAAGTACAAAAACAAAACAGAAAAGTAAAGACTGAGCCTTGAAGGCTAGTTGATTTCAACAAATATTATTTAAAAATTATCCAAGAATTCCTTTTTGTTATCTTAGGGCCCCTCAAATTCATCATTATCTTTAGTTTCATGGAAGGAAGTTAACTGTTAAGGTTGCCAATAAATGGTATAAAAACAGCTTTCTGCCATTGGGCTGCTCATGGCCACAGAGCTGGGAAAGTATGTGCATGGGTGTACATACACATAATTCCTTTGACAAGCAAGGGGTAAATATCTTCTAAAATGTTAATAAATATTTATTTTATACACCTTTAACATCCTCTTCTAAAAATAGCAAAAAAGTATCTGGTTGTCCATTTATAAACTATGATCTTAATAAGTCCTAATTTTTAAATCTCATTTCCAATTAAATTGATAGTCCTAATATGTGATTCTTACTATGCAAAAGTCATGTTTTGTTTCAATACATGTGAGATTATAAGAAAAATCTATGAATTTATTATTGGACAGTGAATTAGCTTTGATCATTTGCTTCTCTATTTCTAAGATGAGAGAGAGAGAGACGAAAGAGAAGGAAGGATGGAAGGAGGAAAAAAGTGAAGAAATTTCCTTCTGTATAAAAGGGCAAGGTTAGATCCTTAATCTTACTGAGATATGACTTTCAACATTAGATTACCTTAACACCAGATATTGTTAGATATTCAGTGTTTTGCCATTAAAAGTGGAGGATCATTACTGAAATAAGGGTTAATTACTTCATTGACCAAAAAACTTCCTTTCCTTTTTTTGGGTTATTTTTCCCTTTACATATAGCAGTGATTTTTCAACTGGTGTGCCACAAGAATTTTTAAAGCATGCAATATCTGACTATTTAGTCAGGGGCACAGACCTCTTTTCCCTTAGATTGTCAAATTAAAAAAATGACAACAGCCAACACAACAGCCATCCGGTGTGAATGCCCTGTCTTGGACCATAAATATATAGGTCATATATCAAAGCTGTATCTTATTGGTCACATGACATAATAAGGTTGCATCTGATTGGTTAGTTCTTGGTACCAGAAATCCTTACATACAAGCATCTAATTTTTTTTCTTTTTTATTGAATTTACTGGGGTGACATTGGTTAATAAAATTATATAGGTTGCAGGTGTACAGTTCTATAATACACTATCTGTATATTGTATTGTGTCTTCCCCACCCCAGGTCAAGTCTCCTTCCATCCCATCACCATTTATTCCCCATCTACCCTCTTCTTCCTCTCCCAACCCCCTTTCCTTCTCATAGTCACCATACTGCCTTCTGTGAAGCACCTGATTTTTAAAAAAGGTCACTTGGAGCAAAAAGGGTAAATAATTACTTTTTTTTGTAAACCAATCAAAATTATACCCATTTTTTGTCAGATTAGCAAAAATTATGATTTTTGGTGTGCTGCAGAACTGTAGTAATTAGTTTATGTGTGCCATGAGATGAAAAAGGTTGAAAAAGAGAAAACTTCTCTTGGAGCCCAACCCAGGGCTCCATTCCCTTATGAACTGTTTGTTATCTTTCGGCACCTGCAATTCTTCCTGAGAGCTTAGAAAACAGGAGAGAAAGACTATGAGTGTTACTTAATCTTTTTGCTTACTTTCTACAGTTTAATTAAATACACTTCTAACCAACATCTAGAAAGTAAAAAATGCCGTCACCAATATTGTAGCTGATATGAAGAAAATTAAGAAAAAAATATCTACTTTCTAATAAAATTGGGGAGGAAGAGAAATATGTGAGTGGAATATGACAATTCATCTTTATTAATGTTTTAAAATATTAGGTCAACTCAAACCTGTTTCTATACAACAGCAACCAAGAATAGATTCAAAAAGATTTTCCACCTGGCTGGTGTAGCTCAGTGGATTGAGTGTGGGCTGCGAACCAAAGGATCGCTGGTTCGATTCCCAGTCAGGGCACATGCCTGGGTTGCAGGCCAGGTCCCCAGTGGGGACACATGAGAGGCAACCACACATTGATGTTTCTCTCCCTCTCTTTCTCCGTCCCTTCTCCTCTCTCTAAAAAAAATTAAAAAAAAAAAACCAAAATCTTAAAAAGATTTTCCATTGTCACGGACAACAGTGTGTTGATTTTTGTGGGACAGAGATATAAGGAGACTAAATGGTAATGGAAAAAAACAATGCAGAAGAAATTTGGCTAAATTATGCTCTACTATAAACAACAGAATATATATTTAAAATGGTACCTTTATTCTGTCAGCAAACTGGTATTTTTCTATGATCATTTCCTGCAACTGGCAAAAGTCTCCATTCAATTCTACTCCATACAGTTGCAATGCTGAACTGTAAAGGTAACCCTAAAATATGAGAATACAGTAGGATGCAAATGAATTAACTTTTTATTGTGGGTTTATTTCTACTTGAAATGTAAAAGGTCAAACTTTTAAAAACAGAATTCAATAAAGTAAAAATAAAAAATAACATTTTACAGTTTATCTACAACTTAAAAAAACTTTAAGAACTTAAAGACCTACTGGTCAGGAACTTGATTGTAGTTTATTAATTTCCATTATTTAAAAGTAATTATATTTTTAAAGATTGATTTCTTACTTTTTCTGATTAAACTGTGCATTCAACAAAATGAGAAAAGTGATCATATACAGATTCTCTATGTAATACCCTATTTCTGTAATTTCTTTGCAAGTTGCATCAGGGGAAAGCAAAAAAGGAGAAAACCTGTGGGGACTATAATTGGAAAATCATAAACAGTGGAAGAGCTGGAGGTGTGTTCTGTTTGGCTTAGGGAAGTCAGCTTGCTGTCTGGCAATCTGTCAAAATAATGACCAATTTGTTAACAAGGATAATCAAGAATTGACTATATATTGTTATATATCTATTTGGTGTCAATAACAAAACAGTATCTGGAAGGAGAGGCCAAATCACATTCTGAATATCATTGTACATCAACTAATACATAAGTGTAAACCAAATTTGTATTTATAGCTCATCACGGATTTTAGAATATGTTTAACAGAGCATATGTAAGTATTAAAAAATCTTTTGTGGACTGACTCAGTGACAGAATACGAAGAAAAATAACTATGTTTAAATTTACTACTGCTGCCACATATTGGCATAGCTCATTACTTCAACTATATACCTTTTCAACAAATCAAACAAACAAACTGAACAACAGTGGACAAAGTATGGTAAACAATCTCTAATGTTCTCCAAACAAAACCATCTGACAACCGTGTATTTTTCCATTACGGCTATCTTTCCTAATCACAGAATAAAAGTTTTAACACTGAACAGTAAATGAATCACTGAAGAGTTAACTGTTCCTTTGCAGCGCCGGCAATGGTGCTGGGAACTGCTCTGCCTGCTTCTGGCATAAGCCTCTCCTGCTGTTGGCCACATGTTGTAACAAGTTTGCTAATGACAACCAGAAACCACATTGCAGTTTTTTGATTAAACTATTTAAGAACATTAAAAATACTCATGATTTAAAATTTTTAAAAAGCCACATTGAAGTGATATTTCAGAAACAAAGGTCTACAAACTTTGGATCACAGAAAATTGGAGCAAGATGTGTCCTTGCATGGCATTTAGTTTGCTCACTTAGACAGGGGAGGAACTTGAGGCTCAGAGGTGTTAGGTGACTTTCTTATGGGCCATGTGCAATTTCCTAGGTCAAGTAAATTTGTCAGTTTTATAAGAGCTCTTATCAAAGCTAGTATACAATTTTAGCACAGTACAAAGAAAACAATCAGAAGGCGGTGGTAGCTGACAAAGCAGCGAAGTGTTGAGGGTGGCCTGCTTCTGTTTTGTTGATAGTCTTTCATCTGTGTCACAGAAACAAACTAATGAAGGAAAGCAGAGAGCTGGCCTTTGAAATTGTAAATTCAATATACTGTTTTAACTTTATTATTGTTACTACAATAAATGAAACCAAGCTGTCACCTTGGATGGTGGCAGGCAAAACTGTTGCTAGGAGGAGAAGAAAGTATTTTCCAAATGCTGAGTATGTCCACAAGCTGGACTTTACCCCGTAAAGGACTGTGCCAAGCCTGGAGCCAACGTCAACCAAGAGCTTTCCCGACAGATCAGGGAGTACGTGATGATAAATGAACTTCAATTCCATGAGAGAGAAGGAATGAGAAATAAATCCTGGAGAATTAGAACAGAATGAACATCATATTTTGCTTCGGTATTAATAATTCCATTCTGTATTTCTTAATCTTTCACCTGTATTTATAAAGGATGGTTCATGCTTTTATTTTCTTAATCAATGAAAGCTCTTCAGAGGTTATTCAGAAAAAGTTAATGTGATAATTTTTCACTCATTCACTCTGAACTGTGTTAGAGAATAAATATGGAGTCTCCGACATGTGAAAGACCTCCAGGGAACAGCTACTCAGCTGCCTGTCCCTATCGCTGTGCCTCTCACTTCCTTTTGTTCTTATGACCTATTGTTCGTTGGGACTGCTTCCTAACTCCCATACCATCTGGCTTTCTCATCTTACCCCAGAGCCAACCACAAAACTGCCTCATATTGCTGCACAGACTGTAGACTACCAAATGAATGACCATCTCTGGAGTTGCACAATGTGGCAGCCCTAACCAACCTAAAATGTGTTCTGGATTGCAGAAGAGGGGCAGCACTGAAGGAGGTTTAAACATTCCTGTAAACTGTTATTTTTCTTTAGTTTAATTGCTACAATTTCCAGCCTCCTATGCCATCTTCTCAACCCATTATTTCTGTAATGAAATATCTGGGAGAGCCTAAGTCTGTTTGTTTCTGATACAGAAGTAACTCAAAGACTCACTGTTATGATCTACATAACATGATCTGGAAGGAAAGAAATGTTGATCATAACTAATAGAATGTGGCAAAGAAAATGGCAGCAGGCAGGCTAATCACTTGGAAGAAAATAAAGGGCATGGTTAGTCCTCAAAAGTAATACGCAGGTGGGCTTTGACCACTGTAGTCCTTATCTCTCCAGGATCTTCATCTGCACTACCCTCTGTGCCACACTAATGCTTCTGTCCTGAGCTACATCATCATCATTAGTGGTGAGACAAGCCCTCTGTCATAGAGGGAAGGAAACTCCCACAAGGTGGTAGCTTTTTCATATTCACTACAGTTATCTGGGCTGCCATGGGTATTCAGTCACTATTTACAACCTGATTTTTATGGGAAAATGCATTCTAATCTTCAAATTTTTATTGTTGAACATAAGATTATAAAATATTATATAAATCTTAATAAATCAGATCTGATAGTGTTATAGTTATAATTCACTTTTTAGTTTTCTATTGTTTTTTGTCTAAGTTCTCTATTCTGTGAATTTCAACTACCTCAAATAGAAACCATAAATACTATCTAAAAATAAGAATCTCAAAACAGCAAATCAGGGAAGTTTAATCCCCAATTATAATATAGGTACAATATATTTGTATTAGCAACATGTTACCACTTTGGTAGTAGTAAACTTTTGAGAATGGTATTGAGCACAAGTTTCCTTATGTGGAGGATAGCCCACTCTAAGCAATAAATCTAAGGTAGCAAGGAGAATGAAATAGCACGTCTAAAGTAACATCCTAAACAATCACATCCAGTTTGGACAAAGAATATATTAACAGAATATAGTAGTAGCATGCAGTCGGTGTAGTCTGCCATTTGGGACACACGTGCTGCATCTGAGGGGGCAGAGATGCAGGAGAACTTCTGTCATTAGTGTTGGCTTTCTGTGATGGACTACAGATCCTCTCTAGGGCAAGTCATGGCCTGAATAAACTCTTTCTTAAGATTATCCATAATTCTTATCTGAGTTCATGTTCATTCAACAAAATATTTTCATTGGGAGACATTTTGGCCCCTTGACTATATTTAACTAATATATTTCTCTTGTTAATAAATCAGCATTAAGTAAGTTTCCCTATACTCAGTGACTTGTGATTAGTTTTTTTACCTGAAAAGTAGCAGTTTCTGTGAAAAGCAGATACACTCCCAGGAGACACTAAGTGGCCTAGCTTCCTTAGACAATACTTCTATTTCGTCTCCCTAGTTGCAGTAGTTGGTAAGGGCTATGCTATAGGTTGGCCTTTTGCTTTCAGAAAACATTGAATGAGTTTGTTAATAATTTGCATACTCATGACATCTAAGGAGAAGTACACACAGAATCATCAGGTTTGAATACTTGAGTGCCCACCTAAAGGTGCTGTCTGGTGTGAGCCACACACCATACAGTAGTTTCTGCTCATTTTTCCTTCCTCACATAATGAATCAATAAAGTCTTCATCATAAAGGAATGCATCAACGTGAACTGTGGGTTCTGGCCGCTGCTGTATCTGGTGGAGAGAAGAAACACATCAAAAGAAACAAAGTACAAAGACGTCTCTTTTTATTGCTAAATAAGGCAAAACATCAGTGGTTCATATGCTAAAATCCTGCCAGCAACAAGACACAGAAAGGCTGGCAACTGTGCTCTTCTTATATTTTATTTCTGAGAGGTTTTTTTTTTTGTTTGTTTGTTTTTTTGCAGGGATGGAGGGGACCAAATTACTTTATTTGAAGGAATGGTACAAATGAAAAAAAAAGTGGATAATTTGGTACAACTTTTAACAAAAGGCAAAGGTAACTCCGACATGAATGTACAGCTTTGTCACCCAGTGGCTGCGAGATGCCAGCCAAAGGCTGAGCTCTCATCACTGTTGCCAGGGCTGTGCCCGCCAGTCACTCTGCTAGGGCAGATTAAGAGCCCCCATCTCGTGGGGTCAGCTGCTTCTCTAATGGATTGCACCCATTCATTCAGGTAATGAGTCTCAGTGAAATCACACAAATGGGGGTCATTTCGTCAGTGGCCAACTTTTTATTTGACTTGTGATGATGCAAAACATGGCTATGACAAATATATAAAATTTTAATTGAAAGTATTTTGAGACCATCTTGTCCATCTGAAGCAGTATATTTTACTAATAAAGAAACTGATACCCAGAGAGATTTCTCCCAAGAAATGACACTAGCTAATAAGAAGGGTATTCTGAGTCCTACATGTTAATGACTTACCCAGCAAAATACTTAGTAATTCTTGCCTAGAGACAAAGTTTTCAATTAATAAAAATCTTAGTAAAACTTCATGCTCACAAATAATGGCTCTTAATACTGTGGTACATTTTATATTGTATAATAGCAAGTGGCTACAAGGGAAAAAATGTCTGATTTCTTCTACCTTAACTGTCATCCTATCTGCTTGGAAAACTACAAAATTATATCTACATCTACACAAAATCTATATCACAAGTATGCAAAATATATGAACATACAGAAGGATCAGAAGGAAAGAAGATAAAAACACTCTGTCAGGATAGGGAATTGTGGGTCAATCATTAACATGCAATGAATACTTTCCTCATTTTATGTATTGTGGTATATAATGATACTGGTAAGATTTATTCATTAATAACACCCAAACTGTATTACAGAGATTTCTCTCAGTTTTAACACTATTCACTATTTTCCTCCTTTGAGAATCCACTCTGAATGAGTAGATGTTTACTAAGATTTGCTAAGTGTTCACAATGTGCACAGCACTGTTAAAAATGTACGGGATTTAGTTCCTCTGCTCAGGACTTACACGCTGAAAAACCATGTGCCAAAAAACATATGTTTTTTTGCTTCTTGCTGGTTTCAGGTCAGTGGGAGAAGAGATTATAATCATTAGCTTTGCTTTAAGAAACATTATTTATAGCATATGTAGCCCATAGGAGTTGGGATTTGAAGGGACTTCAATGAGGGGGCTGCATGGAGAAGAAAAATGAGAACTAACTCTAGGAATAAAGGAATAGAAGAATAAGCAAAAATTGTACAATGCAAAAGTAGGAGAAAGAAACAAAGAGGTAAACTTCACCATTGATAAAAGTGAGGGAAACAGACCAGGGAAGAGAAAACCAGGACAGTGATATAGGTAGGACCAGATTACTGCTGGGCCTTGATTTTAGGGCTGCGGTAAGGTGGTTGCGTGCTTGGCAAACAAGACACCCTCAAAAAAATATTTGTTGAATGAATAGTACTGGGGAGCCAGAGGACTAGAGAGTCAAAAGAATTGGGAACATGGTTGAAGCACCAAATGAAAAATTATTTAAAGTAGAATTCAGGACTATCAGTCTGGAGAGGCTATGGGACTAAGGAAGAACTGGAGAATCCTCAAGCAGCACTAAGAGTACGTTAATAATGCATTTACTTTTTGAAGGGCTAGATGTTCTGAGGGAAGCATGCTTTCTAGAGGTAAGCAATTCCGAAGATCTTCTGCTATGTTTTTCAACATAGTGTCATTATTATCCTGAGTGAACTCGTCAAAATCTCCTGGAACGAAAAAGGAAAGAAACAGCTTTCATGGTTGTAGTCACACCTAGACTAAGTGATTACAATGGGCATATTTTCTGTCACACAGCATCAATTCATAACAATAAATAAACCTTCTAGCCAATGAAATATTCAAATGGTAACAAATGTTCCATTGAAACTATTGAGTTTTTCCTTTTTCCAAACTGCTTGAAACTATAAACCTTGATTGTTTAGCATGTTATAGAAAAACAAAGGCATTTAAAAAATGTAGTAGTTTACTTTTACTCAAGAATAGCACTGCCATTAGTTTGTAGGGTCTTGAACTCACTAGTAAGTAGTCAAATACTCCTTTTCTGGCCATATCTTACAAGTTTAGGAGGTATCACACAGGGATTACTAAGAAGATAACTTTAATCAGAGAATTCCTGCCTGCAGTAAAATGTACCAAAGACTTCAGATAATAAGTGCTAACAGCTGGCGCCAGCCGACAGAAACTTTACAACAATCAAGCTGCTCTACTGCATTGAGCAGCAGATAAAATGACCATTAAAGTAGCATATTTCTGATGGCTGTGGCCTACATTAAATGATCTGGCAAAAGAGGGAGTGTGGGAGTGTGTAAGCCATAAAGACAAGACAGTAAAGATCAGCAATTGGTGGCTCTGGATGAGAGTATGGAAGTGGAGTTCATTATTCTGTTGTTTCAATTCTTCGTTTAATTTTTTAATTGTCTTTAAAAATATAAGATTTCTAAGAAGCTCATATATAATTTTAAATAGAATGTAACTTATCTGGAAGCAAAATACTCCAAGTTGGCTACTATCTGGGATGCCAAATATAGACTGGAAAGGACTACTAATGGAAATATTTTATTTCTCTCTTAAAAGACTTTCTTATATTGAATTCTTGCTGGAATAAAGGGACCCCAAAGAGTCTGTGTCTTTCTTACTGTTTTAAAATAGCTGTAGAAGGAAAACATGAAGACCCTGAAGGAAATGTCATCTGTCTCCACATTCCCTATCTCCCAAATCTTTGGTTATTTTTAAGTAAGCTCATGATTTCCTTCTTAAACATAAAATAATTCTTGTGTTGGTTCAGAATGCTATTCTCATGTCATAAATAACAATTAAAATTTGAATAATACTTTACAGTTTACAAAGTTCTTTCACGCAGAAACTAGGTTATTTAACTTTTATAACATCCATGTAAGGAAAACAAAGCAAGGTTATATTCCCTGATTTACAGCTGAGGTAACTGAGTTTTCTAAAATTAAAAGAATTGTGAAAAGGTACAAAGCAGGCCAACAGCAGCACAAGAAAATAAATCTAGGTTTTCTGCCTCTAAATAAAGGTACTCTTTCACTATACCACTATGTCCCTACATATAAAGGTTCTTTCTCTGCATGATTTCCCTTAGAGCAACAGTGGTTAATATGAAGATATATTACTTGGCTCTCTGAACTGATGTGGGAAGGAAGGCCTTTTAGCTCTTTTTTCTTTCCTCACCTATCTAGTATAGTCTAAGCTGGTGCTTCAAAGTATTTTTATAAGAAGGCTGAATATAAATTCTAGAAAAACAAAAATATTATTAGGTTCATTCCAAATTGTTTCAGGTAGAACTTAAATAGCATCTGTGGTACATTTAAAAAAACCCTGGCCCTTTCATTTTATTCTTAAAATCTAATTAAATGTTCTCAAGGTGCTAATTAATAACTAACATCTGCTTAGCTTCCCTTCAATGACAAAACACTGGAACCCTCTATGACTCGCATGTAATTCTAATAATATCACTCATACCAGTGATCTTTAGCAAGTTCTCTCAATTTGTAAATAGTGTAACTAAGAAGCCAATAAAAATCTCATTATGTTAAGTTAAGATATTTCAAAGCCCAACTCCTTAGGACTTAATTCTGTAACATAAATAACCATGTTAATAAAATAGTTTTCATGTAGGTCTGCCTTATAAAATGAGTCTTAGACACTGGAAAGGGAACTTAGACTATGACCTATTGCTAAATGACAGCACGCACCCATGCAGCTCTGATATGAGAGTTGCTCAGTGTTTGCTTGAACACACTCAGTGACAGCATTTCTTCCTCATGCCAAGCCAGAATCTGCCTCTCCACACCATTAACTCATTTTTCCAACTTCAGTCTGAGAGGAAACATCATCTTTAATGTTATGCATTTATTAAATGAGCACTTACAGCATGCTAGATTTTCAAACACTGTAAAACACCTAAGAATCCTATAAATGATACTATTATCATTTCTATTTTATTAAAAAAGAATCTGAGGTCAGAGGTTAAAGTGCTTGCCTCAGGTCATATTGGCAAAAAAATTGTAGAGCTGGGATTGAATGCAGGTCTAACACTAAAGTCGTTAATTACTACACCATACAGCCTCTCTAAAATGGCAAACAAGGCAGCTGGCTGGTAACAGGTCTCCTATTACTACCTTAGTCTTCTGTTCTCCCTAGCTCTGACCATGGTTCTTAATACAGTGTGACCGCCACATCCTTTGTCATCTGGTTGCTGTCTTCTGGACTTGCTCAACAGCCTATTTATTTATTTAAGAAGATTTTATTTATTTATTTTTGAGAGAGGGGAAGGGAGGGAAAAAAGGAGAGAAACATCAATGTGAGAGAGAAACACTGATTGGTTTCCTCTTGCACACCCACAACAGGGGTGCTGCCCACAACCTAGGCACGTGCCCTGACAAGAATGAAACTGGCAACCTTTCCATTTGCTAGACAACACCCAACCCACTGACCCATACCAGTCAAGGCTCAACAGCCTCTTTAAACATGGTCCTGGAACTGAACACAATTTGGCAATCTGGTTCTCTAATCCATCGCTACCTTAGTTTATTATCCTCTGTCACTTTGTAACATCTAGGACCCTGATGGCTACTGCAGCTGGGTTATTATTCATAGATTCGGAAGTGGCGGTGGCAGCAGTGGGAGCCAAACATCTTAAACGGTAATAAACAAAGCTCAAGGGAGCTGAAAAAATGGAAGATGAGAATGGGTGCAAATTCTGAACCATCATAATGGACTTCTAGCTGTCTCCCTAGTTAAATATGTTTAGTTGGGAGTCAATCCCCCAATTAATATGACCATCACCAGTCAAGATGATACCATAAAATTGTGTATTAAATTATGCAGTCAGTTAAAGAGGCAGTTAAATGAAGACTGCATTTGTTTTACCTTAATACTAAAGATATCAAGTGAAAATGAGATTTCTTCAGTTACAGCAGGGATTCTTCAACATGGTCCCAGTTAAGAGGGTCCATGTATGGGCTTTATATGGCCCATAAAGGGTCTAAAGTTGCATGCTTGGTTATATACATATGTATGTGTACTTTTCTAGAAAGAAAGTTCTTAAGAGGTCTTTGACAATAATAGCCAATATTTATTGAGCACTACATGTGAGTCACTGTAAAAACTTTTAGCTCAATATGGTTAAAATTAGTTTTATTATATATCTGTGGCAGTTGACAAATAACTTCTGAAAATAACAAGACATTTTTACCCTAATAACAACTATAAAACATCAAAAACATAGGATATATTACTTTAGTGTGTGAAACTGGAATTCATTTAATGTATCATAAGTAATTACTCTATTAAAAGTAAATTCCCTTAAAACATTATTTTTTAAAGGCTGTTTAAATATTCCATCATGTATATATTTAACCATTTACTCCCACTACTACACATTTTTCTATAATTGTGAAAAATTGGGAACACAGCAAATAGCAATTTGGCATACATTGTCTCTGTGTTTCTGATTTTTTTTTTTACTATAAACTCTTAGAAGTATTAAACTTAGACATTTTAAAGGCTTTTACTTTTAGAGAGGGAACCCCCCAAAATCTGAATTATCTTCTGGAGGATGGGCCCCTTGTAATACAGGCTTTCCCTGCTAGATGAGTATTGTAGGAACCTATCTGTATCACTGTACCAGCTGGTGTCGTTGTGAGAGGCTGTGTTGGTTTTCAGTGAATTATTTTTGAAGACTCTTTCAACATATTTGCCCATTTCACTATGGGTGATTTACAAGCTCCCTTGCCCACACGTGTTGAATGTTCCATCAGTTTCTGACAAAAAAAACATGATCCCCATGCCCCACCATGCCTATTCACCTGATCTTACCCCAAGTGACTTTTTTTTTGTTTCTCTGGATGAAAAAAGTCCTCAAAGAGAAATATTTTGCCAATGTGGAAGAGGTGAAACAAAAAATGGCAGAAGCACTAAAAGGCATCAAAATCAATGAATTCAAAAACTGTTTTGAGTAGTGGGAAAAACATCTCAATAGGTGTATTGCATCAACTGGAAAGTACTTTTAGGGTGACTGGAGTTTAAACATATAAGAATAAATACACATTTTTAATAAATATATTCTGTTTTTGGGGGGTTTCCTCCCCTCACATTGTCAAATTTCTTTCCTGTAAGATTATACCAATTTACTTTAACAGAAAAGAAAGACTATATGTTTCATTAAACCCTTGTAACATTGAATATTCCATAAAAACAAACTTTGTTGTTTTAATTTGCATTTCTTTAATTACTAGTGAGGCTGAACATCTTTTAACATGTATAATAGTTATTTCAGAATGTGTGGTAACAGTATGTTGGCTGGAAAAAGATTAAAGAAAGATGTTAATCAGTTGCCTAAGGACAGTAAAGTTTTTCTGTCAAATTATACATGTAGGTGGGAAGGGAGTGGAGAAAGAAGAACTTCTCTAAAGGGTAATATTAATTCTTTAAAAATATTCTACTTATATTTAATTAACTATCTGGAGAAAGAGAAGTAACTAAGGCTGAGTCTAGAAGTCAAACCCCACTCTTTATATCTAGTCAGGTATTAAGTCCCCCTCTTTTTCTTTTGAATCCTACTTCTTTTTTCCCACTTCAACTACCTCATAAGTCATCACTTCACACTTAAAATACCATTACAAACTCATAACTAGCTCCTTAACATCAGTTTCTCCTCATTACACAATACCTTACACACCTA